CGAACATAACGTTAGACAAAATCCCTAGAAGGGACACTTTTTCTATTGGACATCGGTATATCATTCAACCGCAGTAAAAGCAATGTGAATCCATCATAATTGTTAAGTTTACTAATCAAATCCGCTTTTTGAAGATGACAGTATACGGAACGCATTTTACGTCAGCGCTCGGAATTAGTTGCACATTTCGGGCCGATTCCCGAGACGACGCCTCCTGTTCCCCCACTACCGCTCGGCCGCTGGCGGCCGAGCGGTAGTGGTGGAACAGGAGGCGTTGTATCGGAAATCGGCCCGAAATGTGCAACTAATTCCGAGCGCTGTTTTACGTAATAGTTGTGTGAATTTCCCGGCATTCCTAATCCAAAATTTAAAATTTTATATTCATTATCAATTTGTGAATGAGCAACTCGAAAAAATTGACGGCAACATTTCAATATTCTAAAATATAAACGTAGGGGATAAAATGAATGGATAACGTGTTATATTTATGTCAGTGTTTAAAGATAAAAGAATAAAGATATTTTTCAAGTATACGAATGATGTATTTTCTTATCATAATACACGTCCATGTTTTTCCTCGAAACTGATACGTAAAACGTAAGAGATGCACTTGATTAATTTTCGACTTATAAAATAACAGGAATTTTGAGTTGAAGATGTGATATCCCACTCAATAATTATAAATATGTACAGTTTTCTAAAGTAATACAATCAATATAATACAGATGCATTATGTGCAATTGCATAACGTAACAATTACTATAAGTTGAATGCTCATACAGTGAACATTTTTTGCGTCGTTCTCTCCATATTGTTCTGTATTGCTCTTTCCGAGATATGTGAAAAATTGGTATTATTTCGTAAAATTCTAAATTTGTTTTCTGTAGACACATTGAGCCTTGTTATTTCACGACAATAAGAATGCGGCAACTGATGTGTCTTTTCGGTATACACATTACAAGGGAAATTGAACAATATGGAATTCACAATAAAAACATTCAACTGTACATGTTAGACATGTAATTAATACGTAAAACATAGGATAAAAAGTAAAATAAGATACTAACAATAGTACTTAGCTGAAGTTTCTTTCACTTTTCAAGAATATACGATAGCTTTTACAGTATCAAATCTGTATACAGAATGTCTCACAATTCGCGAATGAAATTACTGTAGCAAAAGAATTCTCAAAAAAACTAAATAAAAAAAATCTTTACAATTTTTTAATTTAAATCTTTGAGAACTTTTGTTACAATATTTTGATTAGTGAATTACGCGACACCTTAGATATATATTGTATATATATAGAATTGTGTATTCGCATCATATATACTCAATATTTAATATATAAACAATTTGTAATCGAATTCTAGTGACAATATAAATTAGAATACACACAATTGTACAAAAATGTATAAGATATAAATGTAACAGATAAATAATAGATCACTGGATAAAATACAAAAGAGTAAAAAGTAAGAAAATTAATAAAATGTAAAAAATAAAAAAATAAAAAAAAATAATTTTTTGTTAATAGTCTGCAATTTTATAAAAGGTGTATATATTTACTATGTATTTCATCTTTTAATTTGCTATATGTATGAGAATAAAACATTGTCTAATAGATTTCTCCACTGAACAGATTGAAATTCGAAAGCGATTAATGACGTTATTAGATCACCTTCAATAAAAGAGAATGCATATTAAATTGGCGATTAATCGCTCTCGAATTAATCCAAATCGGATCGGTCAAAAATACTATAAAAAATGTTAATTTCACAGTTTTGTAACAATTATTTTCTATCTTCAGAATCATCACAGTTCATACTCAGATTTAAATAAAAATTTTTAATAATTAAAATTTGATAATTAATTATAAAATGCAAAATAAAAATTGCTTGCAGATGATGTATGATAAAAATTCAAGATTGTTAGTTTTAAAGAAACTAGAGAAAATAGAAGCTTAAAAATTAAGCTTAATTAATTAATTAATTAATTAATTATGATTTGCTGGAAATGTGCACGCATTGGTGAAGGAAATTCGACATTTGGCTCACATTTACAACAAATAGTTACAAGATTAATAAAGACATGAGCGTTACAAATTTAGATGTAAATAATTTTGCAGACTCATAAAATTCTCAACATTCTCACAAAAAGAATTGTGAGAATGAACACAAACCAATTGTAAATTGTAGTCCCCCTAATAAAAATATTAAAATTTGTCTATTAAGTTTGTAACATTAAATTTATACTAACAAATTAATTAAAATATAGGATGCGAATACATTCTACAATTTGTTTTTGCTTGGACCACTTTTTGTTTTTTTTTGTTACTTTTCTATAATTGTAACACGCCTTCTATAATTGTAAGCAATGACATAAAATGTATAAAATGTAATTTATTTGCGGAAAAAATGTCCTAATCAGTCAATTATGTCACGGATTGAAAGTTGAGTGTGATATATAAATCAGCAAAGAGAGAAAAAAGATAACGAATCCTCTCTTTTGGAATGTATTTAGATCAATAATGTATAAGTCACTTTAGCGTGTGAAAGATGTGTTTGTGAAAAATTTGAAAAAATAACATTCTCGATCCACTACTCTTTATATACTACGTATCCTGCAATACACGTGACGTCTTCTTTTTACTTCACACGAAATTCTCCTTTTCCATTTAACATGATTGTAATAACTGTACTCCTACCTGTGAAAAACATTTTCAGGCATCCTTCAATTTGTATGGCAGTGTCTCAGAATTTAATCATGCTGCACTCCTCTCCACCGATTGTATTATAGTATGTCTTTTAAAAAAGATGTTAAGCAAAAATATATATTTGTTTTCCGCGATAACTAGACACAGCTCCAAAATCTCTGCGCTATCAAGCATCGAGATGAAAGAAACTGAAACACTTCGTTGAAACTATAGTTCTGTATATAAAATTATCATGCCAACGGCTTGAAATAACATGTGGACATATTGTAAAATCGGCTCGATCATTACGATCGCTCGACAACGTCTTTCTTCGATTTCACGGAAGCATCATTATCATTTTTTGTACCGTCGTTATCACAAGGCTTTCGGTCAGCTTTCTCCGCCTTGGATCCTTCGGCATGCTCTTCACTTTTCATCGTCGCGTTCAAACTCTTCAAGAAGTTACCCAGATGCTCAGCGGCTATCGGATTATTCGCCCATTCGTTCGAGGGAAAAACTGCCAGCAATCTTTTCTGCACCATCTCAGAAGTTAGTTGTTTTGTAATTTCGTTTGTTTCCGATTTACTGGGGGACTTCTTTTTATCATCCAACGTGGATGAATCGTCGACAGAACTGTTGTGCGAATTCGCGGGCGGATCCGAGGTTTTTGCCGCATCCGACGCTATCTGGGAGTCCGTTGGCATTTCCTGATCCGTCGAAGTCGAGCAACTTTTGTTCGTCCCTGAACTCTCCACCGTGACCGAGCTGGAGTCCGGGCTGACGGGCGATTTGCTGCATGTCACTTCAGAGGCAATATTGCTCTTCGTCGGAGGTGTCGTTGTCGCACTGTTACTTTTACTTGTATTGTTGATATTTTCGTCATCACGGCTGATGGTGTCTTCGTTCCTCGCACTTACGCCACCATTGCCATTGCCTGGAGGTGGTGACGGCGAAGCGGTCGATGATACGATACTAGGACTCGCTGCCTCGCGATGCTGTTGCTGCTGTCGTTGCTGCTGCTGCTGCATCATCGAATTGTCAGTATCGTTCGATTCGTTTCTAGCTTCAACACTCAAGTCTTTGTTCTTAATTTCAACAGTGGCCTGATCATTACTCTTTGCGAGTTTGCACGGCGAAAGGAGTTTATTATTTGTGCTCTCTATGTTCGAAGAAAATCTCTTTTGAATAGTCGCTTGAGAAACTTCACCCGTAGAATCGAGACCTTCGTTGCTATGAAAATCCATAGGATTATTCCCGTTGCCTTGGCCCATGCAATTATTATTCGCATTCGTAATTTTGTTAACGGACGAGTGTTTGGCGATGGGTACCGCCAAAGGCGCCACAGAACTTCTTGCGGGCTTAATGGGCGCGCACTGAGCGGCCAGATGACTTTTTATCGGCATGCCGCTAATACCTGGGTTAGAACTGCTCTCCGGTATTCTCAGTCGTACTGTATCCAACTGAAATTGCTGAAGATTCGGCGCCTGATGAAGAGCGTAAAGGCTCGGTAGGCTCGGGAAGACGGACGAGAGATCCGAGTTCGATCGGTTTATGGAGCCGCAAAAAGACGGCGCGTAAACGGGTGCGCGCGGCAACACTGGTGGTAGCGGACAATCGGTGACGCGATGAGCGGCAGGTGTGAGGGAGCCTGGCGGCGATCGGTAATATCTGTGACCGCCCAGAAGCGTCACCACTTGACCCTGATCGGAGATGCCGCCTGGTTGCATGCTGTTCCTGCCGGGCGCAGGATTTTTATTGGTCTTGAGCTTCGTCACCGGCTGAGGAATTCTCAAGGGATGTATCTCCACCTTTTTGTTACCTCCGCTCAAGTCCAGAATATCCCGAGACGATTCGTGTTCTCTCTTCTGCCTGCCAGTCGTTCGTTGCTGATTTGCCGCCTCGTTACGATCCATCGTCGCCACCATCGTTGCCGATTTGGCTTTCGGCGGAGTGCTGGGCATTTTCATCTGCCCAGTTTTCAGAGCCTTCAACACGCGCGGATCGACTGACTTGTTATTTAACGTGATAGTAGGATTCACCTTGCCCAGCGCGACCTTCCGATTGTTATCGACGGGATCGTTGGGTTCGACAAATTGTTTACTTGTTCCCGGAGACTTTGGCGAAGTCAGCGTTATGCTCAAACTCGCCGGAATATTTAAGCCATAGCCATCCACTAGGAAATCTCTGGTATCATTTGAGGTTAATGGATCGGTTGACGTTTTCGCGATATTCACGTTAGACACGCGGGCCACACCGCCGTAATCCCCTGCTATATTAACAGCTCTGCTTGTAGGAACTACGTGCTCCGCGGAGGAAATGTGCGACTGCTTCGCGACCGAGTTGTGCGGAGAAGTATTTTGTTTCTTGCTAGCACTCTGTTTTGGCGCGATAGGCATCGATTTCCGGCGTTTCAAATCGGCAATCGGCACACCTGGCGGACACTTTCTTTTTACCGCCCCGGCTGGAAGAATCGGCGCGTCGTTCGAGAACGTGTACACATCCAACTTTGCGGCATGATTACCGCTCACAATGTTTTTGCTGTTCGGATTCGTTCCTGCACTAAATGTATGTCCGTCCACACTGTCGATTTTACTCACGTATACTCGCGGGTTAGTAGCAGACATCATGCTGGCAACACGTTTTCTCATCACATTCGTAGCGGTGGTATTGTTGTTGGTCTTCGAACCAACGTTCTCGTTGTTGCTCTTTTCGGTGTTCTTCTTAGAGAATTCCTCCGCTTTTGCATTAGTCTTTTGAAGAAACTTGTCGGCCACCGCTACAGTATCACAAACGGGAGATTTCACCTTGCCGTCGTCCGACGCGGTTGGTTCTCTGGCGGTCAATTGAAAACCTTGAAGGAACTGTTTCTTCTCCTGCTGCTCCGCCGGTTTTTTTAGTGCGGTTTTCGGCATGGCGGTGCTGGGAGAGGTCTTTTCAGACATCGGTAGTCGATCCACAAAAGTCACTTTACGTCGTTGCTTCTCTTGCTTATCCGGCGAAACTGGACTCATCAATTTGCTTTTGTTTTGTAGCTGCTGTGATTGCAATGCGCTCAATATTTTCTCCGGCGGACTGCAGGACAGCAGAACGTTGCTAACGATCTTCGGCTTCTTCGTGTTGCCGTTTTGCGGCGGCGAGCGCTGCTTCAGTGTTATCTTCACTCCGTTGGAATTCACAACACTAAACTCAGGATTCGTAAGATTTTTGTCTGCATCCGTCACGACGACGGTTTGTTCTTTTTCATTCCAACCGAGGGTAGCGGATGAACTCTTCTGCACCTCGTATTTTCCGTCCGGATTTTTTAGTATCTTAATTGGACTCTTTATCTGCTTGTTCGAGTCCTTGCATGCCGTTGTCGACAAGGGAGATGTGTTCGTCGTTGTCGTAATCAACGTCGTAGTTGTTTTGTTTGCCTCGTCCTCCTTCTTATTCAATTCTTTTGCCACAGATTTATCGTTGCTATTACTGTCAGATTTAACTTCTGACTTGGAGCTTTCTTGCGCGTTACTCGGCGGCACGCAGTCCCGAGCTCCGAGTCCCGGTGTCGACGGTCTTTGGTGTGACGGTGCTTCGAGTCTCTGCTCTTTTGCTACTCGATAGAACAATCTCATCGGTGCATTCTACAAAAAAAAATAATTCATTATAAAAGCAAAAAGTAATAATAGCTTTCTTATACAATACAAATATTATGCATATATAAATTATCGCACTTTCTCAACAATCGTAAAAGCAAAATTTAATTTAATAATCAGTTATAAATTATGTCATTCTATTACTACGATTCTTTTAATAATTATTCCGCAAAAATCAAGACAGAGAGCTGTGAACAGATTGAGATTAAACAAATAATACATACTCTCTTCCATGGATAAATGTATGCGACGTCTATGAGGGTCCAGTTTTCCGGAAGTGGTGCAAGTCGATGGCAGATTTCAATAGTATATCTCGTTATGTCGACGCTGTATTTTAGCGCCAAGAACTTTTTCAGGTGCGCAACTGTTACCAGAGCGGGACATTGGAGATATCTTCTATTACCGCCGGTATTGTCATCATGATTATTGTTATTATTATGCTTATTGTTACTGTTGGTGTTGTTCGAATTATTCGCGTCTGTGTCGGTGTTCTTTAACGCAATCCACGGACCCATTCTTCGCGTTGAGTACTCGAGGCTCAAACTCACCACATCTTCTGGACTGAATATTAACCGTCCGCTCACATCTTCACCACGTTGCTCCGGCGTTGCAGAATTCGCTATTTATTTGACAATTAAAATTTAATATTTAGAATATCGTTCACCTGATACCAATGTTACGTAGATATTTAAGTATATGCTCAAAATGTCTTGAAATAATCAATTACCGTGTTCGGGATGTTTCTTGTAAAACTCCCTTCTTTTCAGCATTTCCTTATGATACAATCCGGGCACCAGTTTGTACACGATGTCTTGCAATGCCTTATCGGCTCTGTAAACAAATTGCGACTATGAATAATCTCCAAAAGTATAAAGTTAAAATGTGAAACTTGTCGAATTTATTATATACGATGTCTGCGATTATAACAGAAGTAAGAACAGATGATGTAAATTAGTATAAATTCAGTAAATTATCTTAATAATTTAATATGATTGTACTTGATATTTGGCTTCGCCTTGTTGAGCGCATGTTTGCACGATGGACAGTGTGCTACATTGCGTAGATGCTTCAAGATGCAGCTTCTACAAACTGTACAGTAAAAATGCAGTGATTAGTTGTGCGTATTAATCAATGAAGTAATCTAGACTCTCCACTTAAACTTCGGCTCTACTTACACGAGTGTAAACACTCAACTACTGTTGTAGCATCTATGAGATAGCCACGACACAATGGACAAATTAGATGTGGATTGACATCACGTAAAAGCGTCCTTTTTCCAATACCAAGTCCAGCCATTTCTTCGCCAAGCAAATAAATTGCAGAAGTCTGAAAAAAAAATTATTTTTAGATTGTCAGTACTAAACTTCAATGAAAATTAAATATATTAATCAGTGCTAACATTAAAGAATACTATGATATTCTTCAGTTATTTAAAAAATTCAGTAATAATGCAACTATAATATGTAGTTCATAGATTAGATATAACAGAATATCTGATAAAAATATCGGGAAAATTTGAGGATTAATAAAAAATTTTTTATTCATTCAAATTGTTCACTAACAAATCTTAATCTATCTTAAAGAAATTTAAAAAATATAATTTATAAATCAATAAATTGCTTATGTTAATTATTCATTATTTAATCAATCACATCAATCCTTAATTAAATAACAAAATCACAAATTTCAAAAAACAAAAAGCAGTTTCTAAAAACTGGAATCCTTAAAAATGCCTCGTTATTTACAGGCACTGAATAATCTTATCTAAAGGTACATTAACAATGTTTCTCCTTGATATCACTAAGAATATTTTCTTAATGTTTATACTGGAAGCTTTTTAACGGTGTTGTAGCTTAGCAGCTTTTATCGGTGTAGAAATGCCAACAATCTGTCATCTAAATTTTCATCAAAATTTTAAGATCTCTTAGATAGTTACAATTCCATTTATTCTCGTTGTTATTCGGCATCGCTCTCTCCAACCCGATATACCTATAGATATACGAGTTCCCCACCTCTGTTTCTATTTAGAATCGTCCTTTCCGTTTTTCCGTTTTCGCTCGACGATACGTTTAAACCGCCAAACGTCCCTTGCAACATAGTGTGTATCTGCGTGTGTGCATGCCCGTCGAATATACCTGGTAGTATTGATCGAATATCGCGGTATTTTGCAGCCCGACAATAAGTTGACCCATATAGTTATTGCATTGCATGTAGAATTTTAAGTTTATGATTTTCTTTTTTTTTTTACATAATCTACAGATCGCATACTGTCGATAAGCAATAACGTTACCATAAATGCAAACATGTCTTTATATTTATACATGTGATGCAGTAAAAAAAATATGTGCACTTTATTTTCGCTGTTTCCAATTGAAAAAGAGATTGAATTAGTTTAAAAAATCTTTCTCACAATAATCAAAATAGAAAACGCAATATATCTTTTCTTAAGTCTTATTAAAAAGATATCAAGTTAATTTTTTTTCTTTTTTTCTTACCTTTGATAAGACTATGTGTGTGTCAAATGTAATATATTAATTTAATTAGACAAAAACATGGAAAATTTTTTATTTTACCTACGCTAGTGCAATTTTGAAATGTAGAAATCAATCAATTTTTATTCAATCTGCACGTTTATGTAATTTAATTTAATTTGTTCATAGCCGTGACTAATTTTTATACTGCACACCTTGTCAGACTGAAAATAAATTAGGGATAATAAATCTATCGACGTGTAGATGGTTTGTAAAACAAAAACATATGACGTCCAGAAAGACAAAGTACAAAGTGCAAAGTTACGAAAAATGGAATAGTTCATCTAACCACTGATTTATCTTTATACATTTTATTCTATTAGTTTCTCGGATTATTTCGCTATGAAACGCGTCTCAAGCGTACACCGTGTTCTGCACGATGTCTAGTAACTACGTCTATTTATATCGAGCTGCTGCAAGATGAAGGAGCGAAATTCTCAACACAGCGTACGGCAAACTAAACGTGGGTGTGCGCGGTAAGGATCTCGAAATGTAAACATCTCCAATTAACATCTTAGACACTAACAGATAACGTGTTAAATAATAACTCTAGTATGGCACATCGATTAATCTGCGAATAACTGATGAAAGATATAATAACGCGATAATTTTTAAATAAAATTTTGACAATTGATTTTGAGCAAAGTAATTAGCTCTTATCAGCGCCATCGTTGTTTGTTTACAAAATTTTGACGTGGATATTGTAGCTTAAATTTTTTAATAATTAACTATCGCTTAAAAGATTAGAAAAAGCGCATCTTGATAAGATGCAACATTGATAAATATTCTATTTCTACATGTTTATTTAGAAACAATTGATTTAGCGATTAAAAACGCCAAAAGATATAGTTACAAGTAGTTAATTTTGCAGATATCTTTTCAGTAGCGCCGTTGAATGTTTGCTATTGAAAAAAATTATAACTGATAGAAGAATCATCTCGAAATCCGACGCATTCACGTAACATGATTAGATTCAAAGAAATTGCTGTAAAACGCGCAAAAAGACACATGTGCTTTAGAAATTAGCACGTGCTACAGGCAACCATTCCCGCGTGCGCACGCTGCATTGCATTACTGTGCTCTTGTCAACGCGTTGCGCAAAAAAAAAAAAAAAAAAAAAAAAAGGGGGGGGGGTAAAAAGGACGAATACTTGACGGCAGCCTTTGTAACAGAATTCTTCTCGGAGCATTGGATAATGTTCAAAGCAATGGTGCGTTCATCTTTTTTTCTATCTACTCTGTCACATGACATCACTTTATGAATCTACAGATATATCAGGTAACCAACAAAAAAAATTCATGTTCTGTTTTTTTAAGTTTATTAACAGCAAAATCACATAAACTTTGTTGATTATCTGAGAAAAATCTGGCAACCGTAATAAAAGAATCGACAGCGTTTTGTGGCAATTTTAAGGTTAAAATTTTATAGTTTTTCCAATATTTTTAGTTAAATGTCATAAACTCTTTAACAATAGAGATTTTGCAGAGTTTGTCCATTTGTGTAGAATTTTAAATAATCAATAACAAAATTTTTATTTTTTCTCGACTTGTAAAACATTTCAAACACTCTCAGAATATTATTTAGTAGTTCTGCATAGATATATGCTTTTGGCATAATGTAGTGCAAGAACTTTTTTTCTCGGTATAGAACAAACTACTGGACTTCTGTATATTTTTTATGTACTTGATACATTTTTATGATCGATATTGTCAAAAAATAGCGTTCAAATGTTTCAAACGTTTGGACATTTGAAACGTATTTTACTATATTGTCTGCTACTGTACAATGCTATTTTTTACCCGCATCAATATATAAAAAGCAAAGTAGTGAAATGTCCTCCTTTTGAAAATTGTATATTTTTTTATCGCACAGTATCAATTTTCAATGATCGAAGATCAATCGTTAATTATGTATTCCATTAACGACGCTTATTTCGTTGGTGTTTATCTACTGGCGAAGAAATCTCATGTAATTCCGCTACGAGCAGATAGAATGAAGAATCACATGAAGTAAATATGTTGGAAAGAGAAATTAGAGAAAGAAGGAAAGAGAAGAAGAATACGTGTGTAAGATATATAGGAGGAAGACAGAGAACCCTCCATGCATCCCGTCGCTCCATCTCCCGTATATAAACGTAAACGTTCTGTGTATGCACCATCAACCGGCGTGCTGCATGTGCGTCTTTTGTGTGTGTGTGAGTGTGTATGCGTGTGTACAAGTAGCAATGTATACTGTATGCATACTTACATGTGAGCATGCGAGCTGCGTCAGCGGAGATTATGTTATCAGCACAGTTTGAAAACACAAAGCGCTAATCTATGCGCGTGATGTTGGACGATATCTCTCGAAATCTTACTGTGTCCTATTCTTCTCCCTCTTTCTCTCGCCCCCTTGCGGGGTTTTCTCTTTGTACAGGGTGGCCAGCCTACACAAAGGTCGCGACAAACCCACGCGAGGTCGCATGGCACAGCGCGATCTCGCTGTTCACCGTGTACATCATTCCTGATTTGATCGACCGCGATCGAGGAAAACATCCATGCTCGCGCCGACTCGCATCTCGTCACGAGGCCGCAAAGGAAGGGACGAGAAAGTTTTCACGAGAGCCGCTTAGAAAATGGCGAAGAAATCGCACACAAGGCAGTCACAAAATTGCGAGTGCCAGTGGACAGCGCCGCGTGGTGTACTTGCAAACTAAACCGTGCGACAGCTACGGTCTCGACGCGGGACGATGAGGATAGGCGAGGTGAAAGCGCGCGCAACAACACGTACCACCGACGATGTCTCTTGCTCAACTAAACGAGATGCGCGGGGTGGGATATGCCCTTTCCCCTGCGGGTTCTCTCTCCTCCTGTCCCTTCCGTCCCTTCTGATCCGCTCACCCCTTCACCTCCCTACTTGCTCAACCGCTCATGCGGTCTCCCCCCCTCCTATCCCGCCAACGTTTATCTCTCTCCCTCTTCCGTCCTTCGAATCCGATCCGGTTCGCTCTACCGGTAGTTTATCGCGGGTTTCTCGTCCCTTGTGCCGTTGTACGCGTACTCTCCTCTCTCTCTCTCTCTCTTTCCCCCCTTCATTTTCTCCCTCCGCTTCGGCTTGTACCTCCTCGCTCGCCTTCCCTACTCGCCGCTCCGTTCTCCTTGCCGTTCGTACCGCGCACTAATACAACGATACGGAATTGCCCCTTCTCACAGCGGCGCTCTGTATCCCCTTCCCGCGCGTCGTTACTAGCTGGGGTTCGACTACCAGCTTCCTCTCTTTTTCCGCGCACCTCACCCGTCTCAGTCGTGGGGTCCCTCCCGTCGCAGCTTCCTCCCAGTTCTGCCATCTCTCTTTCCTTTTCCGTTGTTACAACGGTTGGACAGTGCCACGTTGAAATAGTGGGGGTGGCCCTTGGTCTCCCTCTTTCTTTCTATCTTTTTTTATTCCTGCGTACAGCCCTCTTTTCCCCGTATCGTTTCCTTCTTCTCTTTTTTCCTCTTCGCAGACGCTTCTCCTCGCTCTTTCTCTCAATTATCGTTTCCCTCACAATTCTGACCAACCCTTCTCTTTCCATTTTATTCTACATGTTTCCTCAATATCGAGCGCCTCTTCTCTCTCTCTCTCTTCTCTCTTTTTCTCCCCCCCCTCTTTCTCTCCCCCCTCTCTCTCTTCTTCTTCTCTCGTCCTTCCCCTCTCTCTTTCTCTCTCACTCATCTTTTCTTGTTTCATTATTCTTATTTCTTGCTACTCCTTTATTGCTTCTCCCTTTTAATCTTTTCTCTCTTTTCTTTCGTCCTTCTTTGACTCCGTTCGCTGTCTACTTTGTAATCACTGCTCGCTTTCTTCTTCTTTTTACATTTTTTTTCTCCATCTTTTGTTTCTTTAATTTCTCTGTTGGCATCCTTTTTATATGATTCTTCTGTTTTCGGTTGTCTTGTAATCTCTGACGCCACCTAACGCTTAAAAAAAAAAAAAAAAAAA